TCAATGCACTGAGCGGAACGTAACTATTACGAAACCAACAGAACAGTGGGCCCTGAATACCCGATTTCTGGTTATAGAATCAACTTTGTAAAGGAACTCTTGCCAAACATCTCGCCAGTCTGTATGTTACAGTTATATATTATAAGTCTATATGTATTACGTCGTTAGAATAATGTACAAATATTAATTTCTTGTTTTAACGCGGTTATTATACATACACAAATATTTTTACGGATTTTATTACGTTTCAATTTGATATTTAATTTCTCGACATTACGAAACGTTTCCAGCGTTCATGGACACGTGACGAACTTAGTGAATAAGGAATAAAATAATTGACAGTTGAAAGAGTTCGAAACGTCGGGAATTTAAAAATCCAATTAAAATGATTTTTTGTTATGAACTTTTTGTATGCGTGGATTCTATATTTCCTCTTTATTTCCTTGTTTTTAAGCGTAGCTCATCATTTATTTAAACAATGTTAGCTGATTGATTGAGGGTTATTTATATTTTCCTTTATTGTTGGCGATGTTTGATACATACAGTACATGCTTGATACAGTAACACCTACGACAGCTATGTCATACACACATATGCAAGCCAAACGAATCACGAACTTAATTTAAAAACAATTCTTCGGGGGAAGTGGAAGTCAGCACCGCATAGAAAACCTCTCAAAAAAAGAGCCAGCAACCGTCATGGGACTTACAAGAGCAGATCAAGAGTCATGTCCCCAGATCCTGGTTCTCCATGTATTGTTCAACAGAATAATAGGTATTTTCAATAAGGGTTAACTACTTTACAAAAGTTATGTTCATTCAATTCTTTTGACTGTCATTTATTCTGTGAGATATTTTTCTGCTTTATGTCGACAGAAACCTCCAGAGAACCTCCAGAAACCTCCTATTGTATGGTATATGAATATATAGGCGCCCGTGAAAATCCACGTAAAAAGGTTTGCGATGTATATTAAACAATAAATATCTTAGTTTTTTTACGCGTATGCAGCCTCTATAAAGCAGCCTCTTTCCAAACGAAAGTAAACAATTTTATTTAAACGAATTTAATGACTATTATATAGTTTAACTGTGGTAGGGCCACGCAAAATTGTTCACTGGTGCACGAATGGGCACAAGGGCCGGCGTAAAGTAGAGTGTACTTGACACTTCTGCGTTTCTTCTGCTGGTGAGTGAGGTAGCCGGGACCCACTTATTTAAAGGAAGCAACGCATCTGCAACCCTACGGGTGTTGCAAATGTCCATGGGCGGCAGTTTTCACTTAAAATTAGGTGAACCGCCAGCTCATTTGGCACTTTCTCGCATAAAAAAAAATAGTGAAGGCTAAGATTATTTTTGTGTTAAATTATTTTTTAATTTTATATAACAGGTAAATTAGCAAAAAGTGCCACTGATATTTATTTATAACGTTCTCTTATTGTAAATATGTTATAAACATTGCCTGCTCCCTTATAAACAGATCAAATCGTTGGAATGTACCCACCGCATTGTAGGTACTCTGTTTAAACACTGGTGTAGATAGTGTAAATCTGTACTAAACTACATCCAAGGCATTCTACATAATTACTATTCATGGTCATTCCTTTTCTAGAGTTCAGTAAATGGAGTCAAAAAACAAAGCTCCAATACTTTAAAAGAACAGCGTGACGACATGTGTTTTGATTCTCATAGAACTTGTGTATTTCCATTTGTCTTAGTGATTTGGCTCCTTTTACATAATCTTAGAAAGACAATCAAAATGCAATCGTCTAGAGCTAAGATTTCTGCAAAACTGTTCTCACGAGACCCAGTTGATGATAGTCGTAGTTAAGGGTCGACTACGTAACCTCTAAAAGCAGCCGCCAAAACACAGTATAATATAATGAATTCGTAAACACCAGTTGACAGAAAGTGTTCGGTATCCAACTCCAGGGAATCGTGCCGCTATATGGGGCTATGCACTTCCTGGGCCTAATTACCGGGGCACGTTACAGGTGTGAACTCCTCGTCATCGTTTAACTTATCACTCCATCGACCTTGGACTCGGCATATAACAATCCAATGAACACCGTTTAAATCTGTACACTATGTACATGAATGAAATAGGTTTATACATAAAAAAACTAAACCAAGTGCGACTTGGACTCGCGCACTATGGGTTCCGTACCATTATGTATAAAAACGACAAAAAGAAATCATGTGTGTTGTATGGGAGCCTCACTTAAATATTTTTTAATTCTGTTTTTTAGTATTTGTCAATATAGCCCAACAGAAATACATCGTCTACGGTAAACTATCGCGGTTCATTAGATACAGCCTGTAGACAGACGGATAGACACACAGGCAGACAGCGGAGTCTAGGGACCCTATTACTAAGACGTTTTGCCTTTTAGGTACGGAAACCTAAAACTAAATAATTTAATACAATGTTCCATCGATGTTTATGTTTAATTTCTTGTAAATAGATAACAGTCTCAGAGTTTAGTCCTATTAAACTATCATTTAGATAAAGTTAGTTTATTACAATATCTTTCAGGCATTCTTTGCATAACATAACTTCGTCAGGCGAAGATTTAGCGGGTTTTTATTGCTGTAGTACAGATTAAGTACAGTCACCCACCGTTCGAAACGCGTAAGGGCTTCCCTGGACGAGCCGGCCTATTCCTGCAACAACAAAAGCTGCTGCGTATCTCCACTGGTAGTACCACCACCTTTACCTTTTAACTATACCAATATATCATTTAGCAAATAAAAATTTAATTCGAGCAGAAATAGTATAGTACAATGACGGATTTCATTCGATGTTGGGTCAAACTTTTTTAAGTATACACAATATGCATAGGCATGAAAGTTTGACTACTAATAAATATATTAATGCCCCAGTGGTAGTAATTATTATAATAGACCAAAGGAACAAATATTACGGCCCGTGTACCATGTTAATATTCCTTTAACCGTTTCATAAAAACCCAAACTTGGCTCTAATACCATATTATGCTGAAGAAGGACTTACTACTGCCATACAACCGCCAAAGGCATTATTAAATAAACTTTGTACCTGCAAGGCCACCACTCATGATAAGCAGATAACCATCGCATTTATCGCATTACATCAACTATACTCATTATATCGAGTTTCCAACTACTTGTTACTTTAATGGTCATTGCAATGAAAATGACTAGACAATAATATCCAAAGTCAATGGGGACTATTCTGTGCTTAACAGAGAAAAAAAAATGGTCGTGAAGTTTCGCATTTTGCATGCCATATACATGGTGAACAGACTACTGTAATAGCAATATTTGCTTAGGAAACTAATAATTTAAGTTATTTTTATTTCTTTTCACTATGACATGTAACAGCCTATATATGTCCCACTACTGGACAAAGACCTGCTCGGGCTCCGCATATGTTCGAAATATTGTTTTGTCATTGTTTCGTAAAGAATCAGGTAACCTCACGATTTTCTTCACCGATGACCAAGTAATAAGTCAGTATCGTTATTTTAATTTAGGTTGCTTGAGTATATTGAATTAAAGCTCTCTCTCTCTCTCTCTCTCTCTCGCGTGCATTTATTATTCCCACACGGTAGTGGGGTCTGCCTTTCCTGTCAATATTGAATTAAAGCTATCACTAATTATAGTACCTACATTTACTCGTAATTTCCAATACTTCTTTCAGTCTGTGTAACTTAATTTGTAAATGTCACTATTGCGCCTACTTGTCCTTTACACTTTTATTAACCTTTACACTGTTTCATTTGTTTTTACATTTTTTCATTAGAAACATTACAGTAGGATAAGATTATCTTATGTTGTAAAGATGTTTTACATACATAAATTTCCATAGACGAACACCCAGATCTGAAATAATTATCTATGGATCACACAAATAGTTGTCCCGTGTGGTAATCGAACCCATGAACTCCAGTGCCAAAGTATATTTTTTTATTAATAAAAATCCTGTTCTTTTTAATTTCTAAGAATATGTATACAGCGTGTCTTTACAATCGCGAGAATAAATGAACACACATATAGGGGATAACTTTATAAAATTGTATTAAACATTTACATTCTTTAAACATGAATATTTACAGAGTTATTAAATTTTTCAAAACAAAGAATTTTAGATCACCCTTACGCATAAAACTGTAACGTAAAGTTTATTTGTAAAGGTCACATAGGCTATGAATGGGTTGAATGAATTTAAAAAAAAACCTACTGTTAGAAGGAGAGGCTTGTGATGCGACGCTGTGGCGCGAGTTGTATAGGATGTTACAAATTTATTTTCTTTTTTACTTAATTAGTTTGTTTGAAAAATATTTTTTTTATTATGGATTTTTTAACGTTAATATTTTTTTATGATTATTAGCAAGTAGCATTAGACGTGTGTTCATTTATTGTCGCGATGGTAACGACACGGTGTATAATGTTTCATGATAATCGGTTGAGTTGTTTTTGCGTGAAAACGTAACAAACAAACTTACTTTTACATTTTTATAATAATAATAGAGCGTAGAGCCATATTGGAAAGAACGTTTAAAAATTGTGTTCTCTCGGCGAGGCTAAATATAGATACATACATGTGTCATAATCTCGCATGCCTACTAAAATTAATATTAGTGTAAAATAATTTAGTGAAATCAGAAATAAATAAAAATTGTAATACACTTGCGACTTAACTCAATAAACGTGATAATAAGTGTTTATAAACAAACTTATTTACAGCTTGCAAAATTTTAATTAAAAGTGAAACTAGTATGAATTAATGTTCATGGGTTCGTTTGATAATTCGAGAACGAGTATTCAAACTATAATTTGAAAAAAAAACCCTGAATTTTAAATGAGTTTTATACTTTCCTTATGTTAATTCATAGTTAATGAGGTTAAACGTGTATAAACAACCTATTATTTTCCAAATAAAAGACATTTGTATTCAAAAAATGTATCGCGTCCTTCCAAAAGAGGATACAGCTATCGGAATATTACTTGGAAACTACTTACAATGGCGACATGGCTGTTGAAGTTGGGGGAGTCTCGCCACAAGCGATCCAGAAATCTCGAATCCGATACAACGATGTCGTCCAGAGGCGATCTAACGACATGTTGCTCCTGATTGCTCAATGCCGCGCTAGCAGATAGCTTCCGCAGCGCCCTCAGCTGTTTAATCTGACGCAGCAGGATTTTTCGCGCCATCGGCATCGTATGCGTTCGCGCGCTTTTCGCGACAACGGAATGCGGACTGGCCGACGGCGGTTTCGCAGGGCGCGAGTTGCAATCGAGCCGACCGATAAACTCGCTAATTCGCAACGAAAACAACCACCGCTGTGGATCAGCTGATCGCGACGCGGCGGCGCACTTTGCACCGGCTAGATCTAAATTATGCTCGACAGATTTGCACGCCTCACACCGCGAAGATGTTGATGCCGTGCTCTACTCTCGACACGTCGAGGTATAGAAATTATTTGCTCTTAACTTGCCCCTGCCGAGACCAGTTGGCACTTATACGATAATACGAATTTGAGTAGATGTAGTTCAAGAAAACAGTTTAAATAGTATCTCTCTATATCATGTTCCATAAAAAACAATTTTATTTTTCTATTAAAAAACTGAAATAGTTTTACACGGAAGTCAGGGCTTTTTACGAGGCGGTCACGATAGCTCCCGAAAAAATAAACGTATCGAGACTTGGGTTTCTCGGTTGTTGTTTATTATGTTCAGAATAACATCACATAATCACCTATTTAATATCAATAGCCCGTAGTTTATTAATAAATTTTTTTTCGTGTTTTGTTAAATTGGCTAATTAATAAGTCAATAATTAAACGATTGGTATGACGTGATTTTCCAAACTTTTTTGTATTTTCCAATTTTGGATTTTCCAAACTTTTTTGTAGTTTTCTCGAAAACTAGGTTGCTGCAATTTATAGATTGATGCTTATCAGGAAAGTACAATATTAATTTTCAATCCATAAGATAGTAGTGTCTATGGTGTAAAGCGAGAAAAAAGGTCATCAATCATCGTGGGCTCTAAAAACTTAAACGTGCGTCTTATCTCGCTTGATAAGTTCATTTGTCGAAGTAATGCCCTCATTTGCGTAATCTTTTTTATTAACCAACTCTATTTTTAAAGCATTTGGTGCACGTCCCATGTTATTTAGTGGCAATAAACTTTATATCTGGGTACAAAGTGTCATATTAAAAAATATGTAAAACTGTTAATAGATAGAATAATATTTTCACGTTAAAGATTAGTTATCCATCAACTTCAGTCAACTAATCGGAACAAGTTACTACATACGCAGGTCGAAGGTCTCGAATAAGATCTCGAACTCTTGGGTACACACTTTACGTCGAACTAAATTTACACCGTATATATTCAGTGTGATTAAACATTCTTCTGAACTTAGTTGAGGATCAAGTGAGCGGTTTATGTGTGTGTACGTCTTCGTTGCATCCCAGCAGACAAGGTCCGTGCGCATACTCAGCCTTCCGAAGCGAAACTCCGCCGAGCGTCGAGTATTGCTCCGTTCCGCGTCGAGACGCCTAGGACACTCGTTCCTCTTGTTGTTGTTCTCGGTTTTTTCTGTCTGTATTTTCTGTCGTTTCAGCGCTCAACTGAGTACAACCGCATAGCTGCCCACTACTTGGTCGCCCTTTTTGCACAAAAAGGGCCCAGTGGTGGGACGGGGTTACCTTAGTAACCAAACAGCTGAAGTCACTCCACCCGGCGTTGTTGTGGTTATATCCGGATACGTTTGTCTCATCGGTGGATTTCCCTTTAGGGGCCCCCGGTGGGGGGAGGTACACAGGGAGCAACCTCAACAAACGCGTGCTGTTAGAGTGCAAAACAGCCAATCTCTGGTGCGCTCTAGAAGAGTTTCTCTCTAGATGCGCACTAAATCTAAAACATCATGGTTCGTGGCAAAAAAGCCGCGACCACCGCCAAATCAAGGCGAGCCAAGCCCCAAGTAAAGATACTCGTAGAGCGAAACATCTTTAAAAATGAGATCACCAGGGTCCTGCCAAAGCAGATCCAAACACCTCAATCAAAGGGTACTGTGCCAACTAAAACCGCAGAACCCGCACAAATCACCCCCGAAAGTGGAGAAACAAGTGGCAGCACCGCCACAACCTCAAAGGGTGAAGACACCCCGCCCACCCACATCCCCGGACTCACCAGTCCAGGATGACAAACGTCCTAAACTAGATGACATAGTCATACACAAGGACAAAAGGCAGAATGTCCTACCCCCGGCCTCTGGCGGGATTGAACCGACACCAGGACCGTGAAACCAAGCGGATTACACCACTGAGATCGAGATGGACTCAGAAGAACCTCAGCCCGGTCCCTCATCTATGACACCAACACCACCAACGTACGCCATCGCGGCATCTGCTCCACCATCTCCTCGTAGATTGTCCGCTAGTACACAGGGACCCAATCAAACGCGCCCGCACCCTGCGGAAGAAAAGGGCCACAAATATCCTCCTATTGTGGTAGAATGTCTACCACAATGGACTAAACATTTTTCCGTCCTTAAAGGACATTTAGGTCACGCCCCAAATGCCAGGCCACTCGGCAAGGGAGTGCGCTTCCACCCGGAAAATGCCGCAGAATACCGGGTGATACAGCGCTACCTTGTCGAGTGCAGCCAAAAAGATCCCACCATTGCGTGGTACTGTTATGCACCACCTGAAGAAGTGCCCACAAAGGTGGGGATCAGAGGCCTCCCCAGGGACACGTCCCCTGAAGAGGTGGTCGAATATTTCAAAAAACTGGGGTTCCCGGCTACTTACTCGAGGGCGATAATGCCCAAGAGGTCCAGGCCGGGAACCCTATCCACCTAAAACTGGATCACCTCGACAAAGACGAATTAAAACGTCTATATGATGTGACCGAGGTGTTAAACATGCCGGGCATCACAATAGAGGCCTGGCATGGTAAAGACGGTCCCGCAGAATGCCACCGCTGTCAGGGGTTCGGGCATGCGTCTGCCAACTGCTACCGACCCCTGCGCTGCGTGCGCTGCGCTGGCGCACACATATCGGCCGAATGTCCGCGTAAGAGCGAACCGCCGAAGTGCGCCAACTGCGCAAAAGCGCACGCAGCAAATGATAGGCGTTGTGCGGTACTACAACGGGTGGCTAAGAGTCGTGGCATCAAGTTGTCACCTCCACTGCCACCTCCTCCTCCACCCAGACAAACTCACCCGCTCGATAGGAGCGTTATGCCTCTTCCCCCTCAAACTCAGGGGAGCACGGCAACAATTCCCGCAACGGCAGCGAGCACGACGCAGCCAGCGGCAGGCACACATACCTCACTTATGCCACCGGCCAACGACGCCACGATTCGTGGCGAAGTGGCCAAAAAGAAGAAGAAGAGGGGGAAGAGGAAAAAGAAGAATAAAAGCTTTCAAGGTGAAGCCACTTCCCAGCCGCAAACAGCGATCCGAGCAGTGGCTACTCCGATGCCTCAGGGCCATGTATTGGAACCCTGGAGGCATATTGCAACGGCTCCCGGAGCTAAGGATGCTGGTTCAGCAGCACAACATTCAAGTTGTGTTGCTCGGGGAAACCAAGCTCCGTCCGGGACAGCCGTTCCGCCTATCAAACTTCGTCGTGTACAGACGGGATGCGACCACGGCTATGCCTACAGAGGCACGGCCGTACTGGTAAGACGGGACCTAGTACACGACGAAGAGGAGCTGCGTAGCTTCGTAAGCACGCGCTCCATAGGCGTATGCCTCCACGCGGGCGGGAAAGAGATACGCATGTTCGCTGCGTATCGCCCGCCCCGCTCGACCTTCAATGCCAGAGACATCCGGAATATTTTTTCCGGCCACACTCCTGCCATTATAGCGGGGGATCTCAACGCTAAGCATCCATCGTGGGGATCGAGAATTGAGACCCCCGCTGGCAGGAGTCTATACAAAGACGCCGAGGAGGTGGGCTATGAAGTGCTGGGCCCTGACGAGCCCATACACATACCCACCATCGAAGACCATGTTCCGGATGTCCTGGACATCGTGCTCTGCCACAAAGTGCCATGCCCTGTCCAGGTAGAGGTGCTGTATGATGCGGACACGCAGCACCTCCCTGTGCTCATCGTGCTGAGTCTGGCTGCGGACTCACTGGCTCCCAGAGGCCCTAGGTACAGGACCGATTGGGGGGCCTATTCGAGAGCTATGTCCAACTTCAGTTTCGGTGCACCCATCTCAACCGCGGAGGACGTGGAGCAGGCCACGCGCAAAATCATCTGTAAAATACAGGAAGAATTGCGCGCGGCGACCAAGGCGGTGCCACAGGTGCACCGAAAAGACACACTCCCGCGTAGGCCCCTCGATCGGCTGCACGAAAAGAGGGAGCTTAGGAAGCTGTGGGCACGCACCCGCTGCCCGCGAGTGAAGACAAAACTCAATCGGCTCAAGGACGAGCTGTCGGCAGCCATCAAGGCGTACAGGGGTGATTTGTGGGAGCGCCGCATTGAGCAGGCCTCCGAGTCGCAAACCTCCCTTCACCACCTTAACCGGCAGCTCAGCCGCACACCACAGCCCATCTGTCCACTCGTGGGTAGCGATGGGCGTAAGCACGCTGCAGCTCAAGACAGGGCTGACATATTGGCAGAGCACCTAGAAGGGCAATTTGTGGCCAACACATCGGCCCCAGGCGCCATTGCGTTCCACCAGGAAGTGGAGCGGCACATACAGGTGTTCCTGTCGGAGCCGGTGCCACGGCTGGATGGTGGACTTTTCATCACTCCGGCCGAAGTGCGTAGAGCCGCGAATCATCTCGCGCTCCGCAAGGCACCCGGCAACGACGGAATCACGACGTTGGCGATAAGGCAACCCCCGAAAAGGGGGTTAGTGGCGCTGTGCCGCCTGTACAATGGTGTACTGCGCACGGCGCACTTCCCCTCTGAGTGGAAAACCGGTAAGATCATCGTCCTGCCGAAACCGGGCAAAGACCGACGACTTCCGGGGAGCTACCGACCAATTACGCTACTGCCGCACGTAGCCAAACTTTTTGAACGGTTGCTGCTGCGGAGAATAGTTCCCTGCATCGAGCTACGCAGGGAACAGTTCGGTTTCCGCAGCGGCCATTCCACCACGGCGCAGCTGGCCCGAGTGCTGCACTATCTTGCGGCCCAGTACAACCGGGGCCGCATCTGTCTGGGGGGTCCTTCTCGACATGGA